CAGTTAAAAATGTTCTAGAAACTTTTCCGGATGCACTGAGTGCTCAGCAGGAAGCTCTTGACTCGGGGCATACCTCCTCTGCGGAGCAAAACGATGAACGGCTCGTACGTCAATCCAGGCGCAAACAGTATGTTTATGAATCGTATTACGATGGTTGCAGTACAAAGAAACGGCTGCCGTCTGATTTTACAGACGGGTCGGATCGTGATCCCAGTGGTGACACCACTTTGTTTGCAAACATGGTCATAAGTTCATCAGCTCCAAAAAGACTGTAGTTCCTCCCGCACCTACCAACTTCTCAATCTTCAGATGTACTACTCCGACGGTCTCGAACACCAGTATTATTCCCGTTTATGACGCGCCACCCGTCCCGGGTGATGCCCCGATGATATGTGGAACGTACGTTTCGTTTCATCACCACCATCTAGGTTCTATCACCAGTTCCACATATACAACACTTCCTGTCATAGGTGATCCGGAGCCACACAGTTCTACCTCGCTTTTCAGGCTTTCTTAACATACCGTGTACTTTAATTTCCAGAACGAACTTTCCAAATTCAAAGGCCAATGTAATTTCCCCAGACCTGGCCAACCTCATTCTCAGTGAGTAAATCACCATGTTCTAACTAAACTATTTTATATAGAATTTGGGGAGGATTCGCTCGTTGCTCCAGAGGCTGCATATGAAACTGGACGCTTTAGTACCGACAAGCAGTTCTCAGGCACTCAACCACCCCCTCTTCCGCTGTCATCCATGGATGATCTCCGTAGTATGACGAACATCTCAGAGATGGTCCACGCTATGCACAGCTGGTAAGTATTAGTTGTAGTCACGATTATTGATTTCTCAAAGATGGAAAGGTGGCTCTTGCAGGAGGCTGGCGATGTACAACTGTACGTGACCAGCATACCTACATGGACGTTGGCACCAAGGCTAGCCGTAATACTTAATTGGCGCGGAATAAATGAAAATGAACCCTTCGGGTCAACCAGGCTGGCCCAAGGACTTATTTGTAAGTATTTAATGGTTACTTTATATTTAGTTAATTGAACAAGTGTCTGGATGAAATTTTATACCTATCTTTTTCATTACACACGGGACAACTGAGAAATTTCCGAACACAAATCTACGGCAAATAAAGAAAATCGTTCATCGCTGGCTGGAAAACGAACGGCGGAAAGTTCGGGAACGCCTGCAGAGATCCACCAAGAGTGACAAATGATTCTCCCCTGGTATTTTTTTGAAACTCATTCATAAAGATATTTGTACTTGAAAGCGCTTATTTATGTTCTGGAAGGCAATACGCTGAGGAATTGTGTGGGGGTAGATGGGTTATCACGGCACGGGAGCGTGGTGTTTAGGAAGTTAGCGAATCGTACTAGAGAAAGAAATAAATGCATATGGTGGGCTATATTCGCGCATCGGACGACTTTAGCTTAGGTGAGGATGGATGCAGCAACTCCGGTCCTGAGTACGGATTTTCCGCACTTGGGTGCGGAAGCTTGTTTCAATTCCCCACAGAATCTTCACCCGGGTGCGGACATTTCTGCACAGTATCCGCACATTTCTGCAGAAATGCTAACTGTTGTATTACTGCGATATCACCTTAGGAGGAGAAGTGCAACCGGGCGGAAATGCATGGGGTTGGAATGGTCGGTTGAATTGTATGGTAGATGCGTTTTGGGATACCACGAGGAACATGATTCCAAGACAAACGTAAACGTGAGTGGTCACTTGGCAGCATACCTCCAGAGTATAGGTCAAGTGGAGATGCCAGCATGAATATCGGGTGCGATAAAGGTTTGTGAATATCGGCAGTTTGACCGATCTGCAGGAAACAAAGTCACCTGGGGGTAAGGAACTCATCAGATGCTCATAAACTAACAGTACCGTCTTAAGGCGGGCAGATAGGTAGGGTCACTAAGAGTTTCATACACTGGGGCGCGAGCAACAGTATCCGTGAAACCAAGTGATATCTGACACATTTCTAAAGTGTGTTTCAATTGGTTTGGTACAAAACTTGGCACTTGGACTGAATCCAGTCGAAGCCAAACATAAAATACAACAGAAAATTCAGTTTGAGTAGAGGATATATCTTGATCGGTTGTGCTAGTACGGTGTCAGATTTCCGATGTCTCTTCACACTGGCGTAGATGGAATGCGTTAACTCTAGGCAGGAGACGCTCTCTACGTTTTGGCTTAACAATGTCTTATGTTCAGGAGGTTCATCGAACAGCAAATATAGTGTTTATACTATTGGTTGATTTTCAGTAGATGCTTTTGGGAACCAATTTTGCACGTGTTGATCGCCGTCATCGGAAAACGATCCGATGGCTAATGCACCTGCAGCATCTTCGAAACTGAGGATCCCAACTTCTGCGTTATAAATTTGATTCGACTGAAGGCTGAAATTGCAAGAGGATTTAGCTAAGTGGCTGTAATGCAAAATGCTCAAAGGATGTTACTCAGTCCTACGGAGAAGTCAGCGCCCGTCTGGATAGCGAATAGGATCTAGGAGTCACTAGCGTCCACTCCAGCGTAGAACCTTGGTGCTTCTCCGTCGTCCTACGCAAGTTATCTAGACGAAACTGTGAGATGAAAAGAAATGTCGTTTTGGTTATAACAAATGTTTGCCGCAACCTGTGGTGCTAAAAGCGAACGGTGAAACACTTCAGAGAAATCCTCCAACGCGACAGAGGTTACCATTTTTATCTCCTGAAGATACAAAGCGGAGTAATCCGTGGAACAATCAGAAAGTAACAGGAAGGTTGCGGAGGTGTGCGTGTCCAACTCACCTACCTGCATTGCGCAATCCAGCTGAGTCTGTAAAAGTTCTTCCCGCTCATGACTGCGTCTTAGTTTGGCCATCGTCTCAGCTAAACGTGATTCCAACCGCTCTAACTCGTCCTTGGTTTTATCGGTCTGTTTTTCCAAGTCGGTGGTACGTTGTTGTGCCACAGAGAGCTGCGCGAATGCATCGGAAGGGGACACAGAGAGAGAGAGAGAAAAACAGAAATTTGGCTTAAGAAGAAATAAAGACTACTGTGTCCACCTAAAGTAAAAGTAAAATCCGGCTCCGGATAGAGGAAGTAGAAGAATAGAAGAAAACAAAAGTCTCGTCGGGTGTCCTGAAAGCTAGCGATGAACCATGAGGAGATTGGCTGAGGTGTCCGTCAGCGACAATAGAGAAAATATTGACTGCCGCTGCAAGCTTAGAAATAGTACCTCATGTAATAGCATTAAGTAGAGAGGACTTCGCAACCAGAAATCCTCTGTAAAAAAAAACAAATGGAACACAAAAGCAATGGAGCACTGAGATGCACATTAACTCGGCGTTTGAATATCAAGGTTGCGAGTATTGTGGCACAGAAAGCGCTGAAAAAAACTTAGAGATGGAGGGTTTTGAGTATTCTGTGTGAAGCTCGGTGAACAGATCAGAAAACAATGGAGAAAGAGGGAGACAAATAGATTAGTCCTCTAGTGCGGGAGGGCTGAAACTCAACAGGGATGGCTGGGTGTGAATGGGCCCGTTGAAGGGTCAGAAACATATCAAGTTGTCGAACAAAGCTCGAATTCATAGTTCGTTCAGCTGTAGCTAGCTTTTGGTGTCTAGCTGTCATGCCACACGAAGGAGGCACGAGGGCTGGGATACTGCCAGGTCGCCCAAGCCTAGACAGGGGAAGTCGAGTGGCAGAGGTCGGGTTCGAACAACGGAGCTTCCGGTCAGTAGATTCGCGCTCTGGCCACTTGGTCCATCTCGCCACGGATTCATAGTACTCGTGTGCGGTCAGTCTTTCTCTACGGTTCGGTAACTTGAGAACTCTATTACGCGAATGTATATAATCTTTCGGTTTTCGACCATCCCTGCCTCTGACGGCTAGCTTCTAGCAAGTCAGTTGATCGAACTGGTAATATGTTGGTATGTAGACCATAATTTGCAAAGGACCAAATACACGCCCAAGAACTGGTATACTCAAAATACAAAATCTTTACTAGTTAGACCATTTTCTTCGGACGTCAACAGAGTGACTGATACAAAACGTTGTCTGATTAACCTTAGCCCAACTGGAAACGAAAGGAGGCGAGATGGCTCAGTGGTTAAGACGCAAACTTACTGACCGGAAGAACCGTGGTTCGAACACAACCTGTGCATCTTGACTGTTTCTGTGTAGGTCTTGGCAATTGGGGAGCGTCTCAGTCCTCGTGCTTCCTTCGGGTGGCATGGCAGCCAGGTACCGAAAGGGTGTTACAGCTGAACGATTATTTATTATTGCTGTTACGGGAACGAAAGTATAGCTGTCAGACGATGATGCAAGCTATGGCAGCCATGTATGCGCTACTTGGTGAAATGGGCAGATGTAGTCCACAGGGTCGCTGGCAAAAGAACAACCTTATCCATATTTAGATAAACTTCCCGATAAGGCAACTGGTCGCATCCATGCACAGATTTGTCACCTTCACTCACATAACCGCATCTAATAGCTCAGACTACCTTGCTCATTTATTTCTTTTCGCCCCTGGTAACCCAGTGCATCAGCAATGTGCGCCAGTTGCTCCCGGGCATGACTCAAAGCTGAAAATGATGATGAAGTTCAGGGAGATGGAAGCAGAAGGCTGCCTCTGATCAACACATCATAGTGATGATGAAATAAAGCAAGATACACCACGTCCCGACGGTGAGGTTGACGGTTACAGAAGGTGTGGTAATGAGGCGTACAAATCTATTTTTAGTAGCGTCTACCAAGGAGATTTAAGATGTGAGGGGTCCGTTCCAAGCACGGTAGCAGCAATATTCAATGGTGGTGTGAAGTGGAGAATCTTAACGAAGCTGAATTTGATGAATCAAAGAATTCGAAAAGGTTACGCGTGTTGTTGCAGTCGGCTTCCTCTGGTAAGGCTGGTGAACAGGGCTGTGACAGCACGATCGTCAGTGGATAGGAACCCGTTGGGAACGGCAAGATGCAAAATGACGAAAAGTGACGCCACCCACGAAAGAGTTGTCGTGTCGTTGAGAGCAAGAAAAGCGTCCGAGAGGAACTGGTTATGTCGTGTGTTGCATCCAGATTACTCAGCGTAGTGTTGACTCGGTTGTGCATTTTGANTGCATCCAGATTACTCAGCGTCGTGTTGACTCGGTTGATCATTTTGAAGTAAGGTCCTCATCAACTAATCGACAAGCTCTCGCATCACTGAGCAACCATTTAGCTATCTCAAGGTAGTCCGCTTGTCCATGACTACAGTTGAGGTGTAGGCTTACAGTAAATTCCTGTATGTTGATTTTTTCATACATAGGCCAGCTAAGACAACCAGTGCGGCGGTGCGAAGCCGCTGCTGTTGCCACTAAAGATCATGCTCCACTTAACAATAAGGCACCTGCTCATGTTTCGTATGCCTATGATACGCTTACCTGTTTGGCCATTTCACTGTGTTCTTCGGTCGTAGGCAGTTGGGCTAAGTAAGATTCCAATTGTTTGAGGCGTTCCGTTTTGTCACGAACCGTCAGCCTGTAGCTTTCCAGACTGTTTTGAGCTTCAGCCAACTGATGCTGCAAACATTCATTCTGAAACAAAAGCAGTGTATAAGGTTGCCGGTGGAAAGTGGTTCACAGTCTCTCGGTATGCTTCTCTGAAAGTAGGCAAAAAACGTTCGACTGAGAAAGAGCACGGACAACATATAGGTGATCTATGGGTGATTGAAAATATGGAAATAGAATGTACCTCCCGCTCGAAGTTCTTCTCAGACGAGGGACTGACTGGCTTGAAAACTCAACCCGCTGTGCAGTAGAGTAGTCGATGACACCGAATCATATGATAGCCTTGAGGCGTGGGCTTCATGGGGGTTTGTCGAGTCAACGCTTTTGTTTCAGCGGTGCTCATTTGCGTCCTTATGTGGGGATTTATTTAGAAGTAAGATATTACTATATTATACGGTTCAAGTGCCAAGTTCACGTCACTGTTCAACTGACGAAGAGATATCAATGATAACCAACGAAAAGATTACAATACCCTTGGAAAAGCATGGTGTAGGCTGCATATCCCGAATATATGTGTCAGATTGCGGACTACCAGTAAAGAACTTATATGAGTTGAGCATCACACCTGACGCCGGTGACGTTTGGTTGTTCAACTTTAAAAAGCGTATGTTACAAGCTCTTTCGTAGTGGATAGGGACTGGGAAGCATACACTGCTGTGACTCATTCAAAGTAAACTATGAGGTGTCCGCTGCGGTCAACTCACACTTCACCATTTAGAACTTGACACACAAAGGTAGGGAACATTCGGAAGTACTCACGGTCTCGTTCCTCAATGTGTCGGAGGGCTATCCTCACTATTCAGTCAAATGGCGGTTGAATAATATCAATCAATCAATCAATCAATCAATCAATCAATCAATCAATCAATCAATCAATCAATCAATCAATCAATCAATCATCTGTCTGTTCAATCAATCAATCAATCAATCAATCAATCAATCAATCAATCAATCAATCAATCAATCAATCAATCAATCAATCAATCAATCAATCAATCAATCAATCAATCAATCAATCAATCAATCAATCAATCAATCAATCAATCAATCAATCAATCAATCAATCAATCAATCAATCAATCAATCAATCAATCAATCAATCAATCAATCAATCAATCAATCAATCAATCAATCAATCAATCAATCAATCAATCAATCAATCAATCAATCAATCAATCAATCAATCAATCAATCAATCAATCAATCAATCAATCAATCAATCAATCAATCAATCAATCAATCAATCAATCAATCAATCAATCAATCAATCAATCAATCAATCAATCAATCAATCAATCAATCAATCAATCAATCAATCAATCAATCAATCAATCAATCAATCAATCAATCAATCAATCAATCAATCAATCAATCAATCAATCAATCATCTGTCGTATTCTCTCAGTACATAACTGACACGCAACTCGGATGAACCACGAAGGTCAAGATACCCCCAGGCGTTGTTAACTCCGTATTCAAGACAAAGAACCACTTTAGTCCAAAAGTTGTAAGATTCACTAGCAATCTACAATCGTGACTTGTCTGGTATTATCTCACCCCGAATCAAACTTCCCTCCCACTCCAGTATCAAATGGTGCGTACGGTGAATAAATGGCATTGAACTTGACTGAGTGACGAACCAAGCTCTCACCTACGATCAACTAGAATCCTTCGACTGATTCTCCCTTACTTTACTTTGCCTTACTTCAATTTGCCTTAGAACGACCACCTACCAGGACAGGAGTATCTGCGATACATGCTCTCAGACACAGGGATCAGTAGTAAGGATTGTACAAATTGCGAACAAGTGTTAGTTCGAGTGGAATACACCACAGAACCAGTAATGATCGAGTTACCCCATATCGCCTTTAACTGTACTGAACCAAGGTTTCTGGTGTCCTCCTAGGCGACAACTTCATCTTTCACATGGTATTAGGGTCAACGTTTGCTTGGTGATTTCTGTATCGTTGTGCGCAACGGATGCCCGAACAATTGCAGACTTCGTCGTCAAGAGAGCTGAGATAAGCATGACAGACGTCCCCGGTCCTCATCATCACCTCAAGATGACAATCTCTCATTATGAGACTGAGACACCGGTAGTCTAAAATCACTGCCCGTATAAGCTACGTTTTGCATTCATAAATCAGAATCAGATAGATGGCTAGGTTAGGTATGAAGATTTTCGCAGCTGCCTGTAGAATGTCAAACCTAGCGAAGTTTATGTATGCTGTTGACGACTTTTGATCAATCTTACTGCTTATGAAGAAGAAAAGTCGATAGCTTGAACACCAACCCCAGAGAAAACCATTCTGCTGCAAGCCTGGTGAAAGATTAATTTGATGCTCGTTCGAATTAAATGCTCACAGCAATTTAGTGTGCAAGAGTTCCAAAGCCCACTGACTACCAGCTAAGTAGAACGAGACCATCAAGGGACTGGCCAACAGACTACTCTCAACTTTTCCGCAGTTAAACGGACCGAACGTATCCATAAGCGCCTCTGACGTACTGAGCGGTACCAGCTGTTGGATTCCACACCCTCGGGTAAGGCAAGCCTTCACTTCATGGCGGTACAGACTTTTGAGTAACAGCTAGTTGAAGTATCCCTGAACAAAAACATACGTTCTCCCACAGCATTGACGGCTCAGGACAACAGCGTCTTGTTTGGGTTTGTGCAATCCACAGGTAACATCTATGCACCCAGCACATCAGCGACCGACACGAGCAACTCGCCTCACGCGTGACTTGCAAAGCCAAACGATGGATCCTCTACGCTTACTAAGTTTTGGTTGTATTTGGTCGAAAATTAATTTGGTTTCTGATAAACCCATTGGGTCATGACGAAAATAGAGCAACCCTAAAATTAGTCTGCACACTTATGTGTCATTGAAGGAAGTCCACTGATATACGAAAGGGTCTGATCAGTGCGGTAATCATCTACGAGAACAGGATGTTCGGGTGCAATAAGAAATCCGGAGTGAGACAGATTGATTTCTCAGAGGCAGTCTTGGCGCGTTTCTATCACGGAATGGGTCGACAAATCACTTTGAGTACCTTAGCAGTATTGCATACTTGGAGAGTTTTAGTCCTGCAGGATGATGGTGCCACAAACTTACCTCTTTAACGGCTGCTCCGAGTTTGGCTTCATAGTCGGCACAGACCTTGGCATGTGCTTCCTTATACTGCTCCAGCTCATATTCCACGGATCTGGAAGATAGGGGGTTAAAAGATACCCTGAAAATACATTTCTTTGAGCAAAGACGCACGTCACGGGAGGGCTGGGTTAAAATATAAAACACAGGCAGAAGTGACGCAACATTACAAAACCAACGCACATCATATTCTTGAAGCAGTATAGAGGAGGTACCAGCAACCTGGCCCAGAGGGTTAAACAGAGAAACATCGCCGAACGACAGCGTGGACTGCTCAACGGGTAATTTACTCCCTTCTAATGAAAATAATGCAGCGTGCACCACAGTGGTACTTAGTAGAAGATATAACTCAGAAGAGGTACGGGTGGTTACTGGGTACACCGTCACTTAAACACCACTGGCAACTTGCAAACCGCGTCCTATCACCTCTGTTCTGTTCGGACAACAATCTACTCGAAACCGTATAGCCCTTTCGCCAAAGGCGATGTTAGTTTTCATGGCTGCTTTGCTGAAGTTTGATCTGTCGAGATAGGTTCGATCATGATCACCTTATCGTAGTGCTCACTGGAGAAATGCATTGCATATTCCGGGAATACAAGAAAAATCTATCCAAAAAAGTTGCCTCAACTCCATGGGGGGTGGGATTATATGACACGTCTTTATCGCCTTGTGCAACTGATGGTCAAAATCCTTTCCTTCACTAAACGGAAAACGGTTCTTATTATGTTGAAGTTTGAAAGAAGCGCAATGATAGACGAGCGTAGTGGATAATGATGCGAATTCCCACAAGAGCAGTCAAAGACAGGGTTTTTGAAGTGTTGAGCAAAATACTAGGAATACTAACACAGGCCAAGCTGGACAAATCAGATTTGTCAGCCTCTCACGTAGCGACCTTTTACAATGGACTGGCACTACACTGGAAGAACATGGAGCAGGTTATCTACAGGAACATCCGAAAAGATTCCAAAGAATTTGGCAGATGCTGGTCTCCAAGAGCCACTGAACATCAAAACAGTAGCCCTGCACTAATCTCTGTTCAGGAAGGGGGATTCGGCGCCGCAAACCCGCTTTGTTATCGGTCACAATCCAACTTTTTTTTCACCCAGTCCGACTCTTAACGGTTGCAGCGATTGCACCGGTTCACGTTTTTAAGCCTGAAAAAAAATCCATTTTGAAGACTTAAACCGTTAAATTGAATGGAAGCAGGCAAGCCATGAGAAACGAGGAATGGTGCTTCTTGTGATCACGAAAGTTCTTAACGGGATAAGCTGTATCAAAGTCCTAATTACCTTATTGGCACTTGCATCAAAATTACGCTAGAATTCAGACTCAGTCGGAACGCTTTTGGGATGAACAGTACGCTAACGCAGGATGATGGTGGTCATCTGTTGCCACCATCTCAGTAACAGAAGTATATCAGAGCTCAACGATGATTCTTAGCTGCCATACAACCATGAAAAAAGGACAAATGAGTCGGGACTACATACAAAGCAAGCCAATCGAAATCCGAAGTGCTGCAGACGGTGACTATGTCAAAATCCGTTGGCATTGAAAAAGCCGTCAGAAATGTGACATTTTCCGAAAGGTAATAAAAACAATTTAGAGATCACTGCAAAAACTTGTCAGCTAGAAACAGCGGTGTATGGCTATTGAGATCCGATGATGGATGAACGACCGGAAGGCCATGGCCGAGAGAATTAATTGGCGTCAGGTAGTTATACTTTTTCAGGCGGCGAGATTTGCGCAACCCACACACGAGCGTCCTTGGACGAGTTACTGGGCCCCGTGTGCCTCATTACAAAGTATTCTGTCTGGTGGTCAGTCAACATGAATTCGAGACACGCATTGCTCGATTAGTCTTGAAAGGGATAGAAGAGTCGTGCAGTGCTTTTCAGCATCGGTTAGCTTCGTTTACAAGACCAAACCTACATTGAGAAAAGTGTCAACTCCGTCGCGTCAACAAGATAAATGTTTTTATAATTCGTCGCCAATGCCTTTGAATGGGGCGTAATGGACTCGCGAGGCGGACGGTCCTCCGATGTATGAAGTGGACTAAATCCTATCGTGGGCGACATTTTGCTTTCAAAAACGACCTGACGTAGCTTACCTATGCCCATTCGATATTACATTCAAACCTAGGCAATGCTGGCATGTACTGGTAATATTTCTAATCCACAATCCAGGATGTTGGCTAGAGAAACTTTAGAACAGACAGAAAATGTCCCATATATGATTTTGAGGGAGCTGTTCCTCCTGAAGAAATGGGGAGATACGTGCCACAGCACAAATGTGCTCCGAAGGGTCTTTGCGAGGGGAAAGTACTGCTATTAGTATCGGCAGCAGTAGCATGACATTAGTGTTCAACATTGACGATTCGCTAGCATACAGGGAAATTCTTATACATTCGAAATTGGAACGCATTCTATTGTCTCAGCTTCACGTTGGTTACAGGGAAAGGATGACTTACATTTCTATTTAAAATCATTTACATTTCCAAATGATCCAACTCCAGATGAGCTGCCAGTTGCACACTCGACCGAAGTGTGTGGTCAAATGCCAAGTTTGACCTCTCGTATACTAGCTATTGTGACCTTGCGTGTTTAATGGACTAGAGAGGGCTCCGCTCAATGCGCAAACTTCGCGAACTGACAGGAATACAACCCACATGTTAGGGTGATTTTGTTAAAGAACGAAGCGGCTCACCAATTTAAGCATTTGGGTCAAATGAACAACGGACAACGGACGCTCTTCTCCAACTAGCGGACTAAGCAGTCAACTGGTATATGGAGTACAGGCGGGATGTACGGTAACCACGAGAAAAACAACAACGGGAAACTGCGAAAAATGGAAATAAACGTGAACAAACATAAAAAAGCCTCCGAACAACAGTAGTTAAGTCGGCTCAGACTTTCAACAGAGGAACGGCAGAAAGAAGCTGGAGAAAGCCACATGGAAGACAGACGTCGTCTAACAAGTCGAACTTGAAGGTATATCAAACCGCTATTTTACTTACCCTAGTTCGAGATTCGCATTCTTTTGACGCTCATTTAGCAACCACGTAAGCTCATTTACTCGCTGCTGTAAGAGCTCAACCTCGGTTGCGCGTCCATCATACTCCATCTATATCATAGGCATCCAGTCATAAACGAAGGTTACAAATAAGCAGCACTGCTCATTCTGAAGTGGAAGCAAGATATAAGATCCCTTGGAATTTCGTATCCCACAATCAGCAAAAAACGATTCATAAAAGAATAAAGTAACACATACGATTTTATGTCGAACCTGACTTTTATATTCGGATCATCGAGACTGTTATTATCTGCATAGAAAACACCGCAAACTGTCGATGTTTTATCGCATTGACCAGTTTGTTTGCCTTGCTCGAACACCCGTATATGTCACTGGTCTATTGCCCTTTTCATTGTGACGACCGCAGCGTGAAAAGGGAAAAAGCGAGGTCTTCAATATTAGTCTACGTCTTCAGGTAACAGCGGCACAAACACAGCCGATATTCTGTTTAAGAGCACGACACCAGTCGGCCAATTTGTGGACATCTTACTCATCCGTACGAAAGTCCAGTAAACAGAAAGGAATGAATTTTAGGTGGGCATTTTGAGAAGCCCCAGGGCCCCTCACAGGAATGTTTGATAGCCTGTAGACTTAAACCATGCGCAACGAGGATCGCGTGGAGCCCAAAAGGGCATGACGATAACACAGCGCTTGACGTGATGGTGGCTGGCTTCATGCTGCGTTGTTACATCATTGTTCGCTGACCGCACGCCCTCTTTTCAACGGAGGTTTGGGTTGAGGAACACATTAGTAAAGTGGTGGACGGGCAAGCAGAACACACGTGAGTGCAATATTGGGACATTAGCAATACTTACTGCACCCAACCGCCGCCTATGCGCCGCCTGAGAAGAAATTCGCTTGTCAGCTAAATTCTGAGGCTACCAGAAGCCACCAGTACTCTAAGAGTTGAAGGTGTTCTAGGTTGTTTGACCGGAGCAGCAAAGTTCCCTGTTCATAAATTAGGGCAACTCTTATGATTGTCCTGTATGCAAATTTTATCATCTTTGAAGACGGAGACGCAGAACAAGCTCCGTTGAATAAACTGAACACGACCATACCACCTTTTGGCATGCGCATAGCACCTTCAAAGTGCAAAACCGTGCTTCATAACGTACAGTCTCTGGACAAACTTCTCACAACTCAAGGAGAATCATGGGAGGTTGTGGAGAATATTGTACACATCAGTAGTTGTATTAGCTCTGACCGAAGTTTGCCCGATAAAATCAGTGCACGGATCTCAAAGGCCAGAATCACGTTTGCTAATTTGTACCACCTGTGGAGTCAGAGGCATATAACTGGGTCTCAAGGGTAGCGCGTATTCGGCTACAGTATGAGATGTGTTGTTGTATGGTGGCGAAACACGGCCTCTGAGAAATGTTGAGGCGTCTTCGGAAGTGTTGCTGGTGTCAGATGGCGTCAACGAATAAGTAATGACGCAACTAGAAAACGGGTATTTGGTTGTGCAGTAGATACTCCAGTCATGAAGAAAGAACAGCACCATCAACTGCGGTGGCTCGGCCATGCGCTACGCATGGCGAACCGCCGTATACCGAAACGGGTGTTGTTCTCTGTGCCCCTTCAGAATGGCGCAAACCACGAGGTGGTCAACATACAACTTAGCAGAAGGGTATGCAAGAGATAACGAAGAGTTTAGGTGTTGTTGGTGCAATACGCTTTCAAGGATGAGGATGTGCTTGGCTAGAGACATTTCAAAAAAATGGCGGTTGATCGATGTCAGTGGCGTTCGTGTTATCAGTCTCCTTCCAGATTGTCCGGTTGAGCGCTTGGTAAAGGCAGCTCAGAATGCTTGGGACAGGCCAGCACCAGGTCACCTCCCTCATCCACTCTTTTCACTTCTTTTCATTCTAGTAATCACTCAGCTGTAACAATCATTCAGTGTCCAGCTGCCATGCCACCCGAAGGAAGCACGGGCGTTGGGATACTTCCAGGTTGCCCAAACCTAGGCAGGAGACATCGAGATGCAGAGGTTGGGTCCGAGCTACGGACTCTTCGGTCAGTAGATCTGCGCCCTAAACACTAAACCATATTGCTTCAGCCATGTCTGGTCAAGTTTCAAAACACCAAGAACCAGTCTCAGTTGGGAAGCCGGACAGAACGTTTTGCGTCAATTTCGGCAAAGGAAAAATGGCTCGCCGAAGAGTCGTTTCAATTGCATTCAAAAGATAAGTGGGTGTGTTCAGCGAATCCTAGGGCAGACATATGTCTGTCGTTCCAAAGGACACGCCAGAGCCATCAATCATGCAGGATGTTTCATACACAACAGTGATCGGACACAGAAATTCCTTGGACGTTCACTATAACTCTGCATCATTCCGTATTGCAAAGACGTCTTTGCATTTTCACCAAAGACATACTGAAGAAACCCATAAAACGGCTCAACTGTGCCTACGGAAATTTGGAGGAACATCATTGTCAGCGTCTCCTAGGAGGCATTCAAATTCTGGCAGGAAATTCTAAGCGCTGCATCTCGAGATGTACCGATATTGTGTAGGATTCTCGCTGTACCCCATTAGGAGGTTGTGGTAACGGCATTTTTCTCAGCTTATTTCTCGGTCTGAGTCTCCCAAGTTAGCATTCACGTCAAAACAGCTAACAAAGGTGCACAAATTATATCAACGCCCAACACGAAGCTAAGAACACTTGTACAGAGCTTCATACATATAGCGTCGGCGGCAATAACTGGAAATTCTGACGCGCTCTGGATGCGCCATTGGCAACCGGCATTCGGCCAAAACTGAGTCATCATTGGCTATTGAGTCCAGACTTTCGACCAATCAGACCTCGTATTGATGCCGGACAGGTAAGCTTCCCGAACATTTGGCCAGTCTTGCGTGGGATAGGCTTCTCGGTCGCATCGGCACCTGACTGCGAGGGGTAAAGTGGGATCCATGTGGAATTCCGCCTGACACTTACCTCTTGAAATCCGCTGACGCAGCTTCGAAGCCGAGGGTTCACTTGCAGTGGTTTCACTGGCTTGCTAATCCTGTCTGTGTAGCGTCGCAGTTGTAATCCGTGCTCAGATTGGGCCTCCGACGAAGCAGCTGACTGATTTTCTGAGATGGTGCCGAGATCAAAAGTGTCAGGAGGCATTTCTAGACTCGGCTCACTCGGTCCTGTGTGCATATGCGTAATTGTCGGCCGGAATTGGTTTGTGTGGCGTATCTACTGGGATGGGCAAACTTAAATCTCGTAGATCACTTTGCCGCGCCGGCGAATAATGAGTCCTGGGGTCCATGTAAGGAGTCTGCTACTGTAATCACAAACCAAAACTCTGGCTTTCGGTGAATGAGTGCGCCTGAATTTTTTACGGTCTGAGTGTCATGCGGAGTTCAAAGCCTCGTTCGGAGCAGTGCCTCGGCGGGTACACTCCATCAAGTGAGTTGCGATTTGGCGTCGCTCGATTCGCCAGCAGGAACCTTTGTCGATATGTCCCATGTTTGATGCGATTTTCCACTACCACCAGTTATGGAGTAATCCAAAAGCCATTCCAGAGTCGTGACTCTCTCGGAAAAATTTAAATGTGCGCCTTGCGGAGGATAAATGGGAAACGAATGAGGCCTCACTGAACAGTTTTGGTAAGCCTGAAAATTTCACATCGGGCTGGTGAGTAGAGTGCATCCGAAAAGTTACCAAAAGCAACTGGAAACCTGCGGTCAGAATCCACAGAAGTGCGCAAATGAAAGACAATTAGTGAATGGTCCACGCCACCTATATCCGTTGGTGATGGGATCCGATTGCTCTAATGCACTCGACTAACAATCAACTGATTGTCTGTTCGGTGTGCACACCCCCATGGGATTTGCTTGGATTGCCGTTCTTTAGCTGACCCGTCCACCACGGAAAATCAAGAGAGCGTGGTCCTAAACAGCCTTCTAGCTTAGCAAGTTTGCTACGGCTATATTAATGAAGTTCTCGGAGAATCATGAGATGGGGCTAAGACTTTCTTAACAAAACAAGAAGCGCCGAGGTAAACACGCCTCTGATTATCTTATATCCCGACCAATCAGTGAAAGCGTTTATCTGGTCAAAGAATCACGGATTCATACGCAGGATCGAAGCTTTCTCCCAAGTTTTCCGGGTAGTGGACATTCACTTACTCGGGATGACATCAAGATATTTCGAACAACTGACCTTCAAGAACGTCCTCTTTGAGTGTACTGCTTGATCGATGGTAGCAGTGTCTGGCCTGTAATGTGACGAATGCACCTGTTACCCAGAATCGTGGTGTCTAAACAGGCTCCCTTCGTCGAGTTTGTTATTATTGTCCATTGGGCCTGTTTAAATGGAAAGTCGATCTTTTGCATCGCATTGCCGAGTTTGGAAGTGGGTCCTATAATTCGCTGGGGGAACTGCAGTAAGTAGGTCATTCCGCAAACCGCTTGCCCTAAATGAGGAAAATTGCGCCATTTGAACGTGAAAAGGATTGCTACCGTGCACTCCTTCGGTTGAACCCTGCTAATGCTCGACGCAGGTACTAGGTATTAGCGGCGAGTAGAAAGTTGCGCTAGGAGATAGAGGGAGACTGGACTGGAAGCGACTGAACCCTACTGCGTCGTGGCGGCTTGTGTACTTCAGATAGCCTTTGAGCTGTACTCGGGGTGTTAGCGCAGCACTCACGGAGTCTCTCATGCCAGGTTTTCCCGTGGGTAGAGTTGTGACAAACAGTCTCCTTGCCCTCCAGTTTGGAGGTTGGAACATGTGTAGTGACGAGCTTCATAAACGGCCACCAGGAAAAAATATCCAAAGCGCTACTCAGAGCCAGGATGTATGTTTGCGGTAAAACCCAGATAACCTCGTCCAAACTTTGGATCTTTAATGAGACTGTGTTTTTGCTGGAGACCCGGCGCCACCCTGGCTGCCATCACAAGTCCACTCAGTGCATTATCCGACAATAGGTAAAGCAGAGTATCCACGCAAACAGAGAACCTTGTGTACCCGAAATTCCAAAGAAATGGAAGATGCAACGAATGCTGAAAACGTCCGCAAGATGTTCCCCCTGATTCGTTAGACTGGTCCTCGAAAACCTCTTATCAACGAAATAATCAGGGACCAAAATGGCTCCCTGATATGCAACAAAGCAGAACGT